ACACGTTTAGTCAAGTACATAATATCACAGGTTCTTTGTGAATGCGATTCATGGATTATTTATATTAAAAAGATAGCAAGAGATGGATTGGGAGACCAATTTTCACCGAACTTCGGCTTACAAAGATACCACGTCTATGTGAGGGACTTTGAGGCGAATCTCGGTTGATCCCAAGCCTCACCAGGTAACCACCGAGATCGAGCTTGGTTCCTAGGTTGTCTTGCCTTGCGGAGGTGGAGCAACGCCTTCACAAACTTCCTAGGTTGTCTTGCCTGCAAGTGCTGGATACTTGCGTATAATGTCCAACCAGCTAGGATGAGAACATATAAGATTAACAAACTTGAAGACGAAGGCCAACCACCGATCGCCAAGTGCTCAAGCCAAGTCCTGGCACTCACAAACTCAGATCCTGCAAGAAATCCACTCCAATCTTAGTTTCAAAACAAAAAGGTGATGCGCCTTGAGCCATTTCACTGTTTAGCTTTCATTTGTGGGGTTAGCAAGCCTTTAGATAATCATCCATTGGACTAATACATGTGTTCAACACTTAACTAGCTCATTTGTACTTTAATTATTGCTGGAGGTAGGCCATAAGATTTTTTTAGCTGGCATGCATCATCATATGGTAATGAAGCATAATGGAGCATGGCGAAGCCATGAGAAGCATAGCGAGACATGGCAGAGCGAAGCGAAATGCAACAAAGCAGAGCCAAGTAAGCCTGCCAATGGGCTGGATTGAAATGGGCCCAATGGATTGGTTTCAGCTTTGGGTGTAGTTTGGATGGATGGAAATGGATTGAGGAGTTTAATGGGCTGGACTGGTTAGGGTGGAGGTGGAAACGGTTTGGATTGGATTGGTTTTTGGTTTCTGATTTTTGGATCCAAATTGGATTCAGTCCATGGATTTCTTTGGATGCACTAGACAGTCCAGTACTCTCCAAACCTAGCGTCATCAGTCGTCCACGGCTCCACTCCTTCCACCGCCGCCGCTCCCTCCCCTTGCTTCGCCTCCTCCACCTCTCCGCCACCGTCCGCGAATCCGCCGCCAAGCCGTCGCCGGTCAGATTCCCTCCCCCACCACCATTGCTTTTCTTTTTCCCTGGTTTTTCTCGGTCTTTGATCTATCCTGGTTGTTTTGTTTGTATTTTTTTTTGGGTCTCTTCCTGATCTTGGTGGTTGCAAGTGCAGGTGAAGCAGAAGAAGAGGAAGGTGCGTGCGCCGCCGGGCGTTGGCGAGGATGTCCTCCTCCGGTGGTCCGGCCGCGTCGCCAATCTCCCTGAGAAGCCCAAGTACCACGACGTATGTGAACAGTGTGATTGGTGTGATAGTTTCTATAAGATTTTGTTTTTTTTGTTGGTTTTACTGAGGAGTTAACTTGCTCAAGATTACAATCTTCGATGGGTTTATGTGCAGGAGTTCCAAGATTTCAAGAAGAAGATAAGGAGGTATAGTGAATGCAGGTTCCCTTCATCTCCCAATGAAAATTATTTAACATATCATTACAAATTGAGTCCTGATATGATTTTGAGATGCAAATTAATTCTATGGTCAATCGAATTTTAGTGTGCAATTTTTAGATTGTAGCACGTGTACAATGTGTGAAAAAAATAATTATAGACCATGTTCTTTCAACTATCTTGATTTTAGATTTCTTCCTCTATGCAGACAATTGAACAAACTCAATAATAAATATGTCCATACAAATGTCAGAGAGTTCAGGTACTAATAGTCCAAATAATAATCAATCTTCAAGAACACGTAAGAGAGCTAAAGTATGGGAACACTTTCAGCAAGAGGTTGTAATGATAGATGGTGTCCCCAAGACTCAATGCAAATATTGTAGCTTAAGATTGGCAGCCACCAAAAAGTCAGGAACAAGTCACCTTATTAATCACATAGCCGAATCATGTCCAGCTATTGATGGTGATGCTAGAATCAACTTCCTTGCAACAATTAAGAAACAGACTGGGGAAGGTTTCGTGTTTGTTCCCAAGAGAAGCCGGGAGCTAATGGTCAGATTCTTCATTCATGCAGGTGCCATTCAAGAAAATTGAGGATCCTTATTTTTTGGAGTGGGTGGAGTCCATGCAGCCAACTTTCAAAGTTGTGGGGGCGTCAAACACTTCATGATGATGCCTTTAACTTGTATGAGCGAATGAGGGAAGACTTGCATGCTGAATTACATAATCTTGATTTGCACGTATGTCTAACATCCGATATGTGGACTTCAATTCAAAATATAGGCTACATGGTTGTCACAGCACACTATATTGATAGAGAGTTTAACATTAAGAAGAAAATTATAAGCTTTAAGGAATTGAAGTATCCCCACACGGGATTCACCATTGAAGAAGCTATAATGAGTTGCTTGACATATTGGGGCATTAGAAGCAAACTGTTTACTATAACTTTAGATAATGTCAGTAATAACAATTCTACATGTCAAGAGTTGATAAAGAATCACAAGAATGCATTGATGTTTGAGGGTCAGCATTTGCATGTTAGATGTTGTGCCCATATCCTAAATATTTTGGTTCAGGATGGTATGAAAATAATTAAACCTACAATACACAAGCTACGTGAGTTGTTGAAGCATTTAGATTCTTCAGTATCAAGAATGCAAGATTTCAATTCTATGGCAAACTCGAAAAATCTTCCTTCGAAGTTGAGTTTTTCTTTTGATACACCGACTAGATGGAATTCCACCTATAAAATGATTGTAGAAGGATTAATGTACAGATCTGTCCTGGATAGCTATGCAAATCAACATGGTGAAGTTGCACCTACTGAACTAGAATGGCAGAAAGTTGAATCAATTTGTGCTTTTCTTAAAGCTTTTGAAGAAGCCACATTATCAGCGTTAGCAGATAGGAAACCAACATCACGTAGGTTCTTGCCCTTGGTGCTACAAATTCGTCATGCATTGAATGACCCTGATTGGCAGACTAGTGATATTTTAAAGGTATTGGCTGCAGCTATGCTCTCAAAGTTTGTCAAATATTGGGACAGTGGGTTTAACTCTGCACTTGTCATTGCCACAATGTTAGATCCAAGAAGAAAAGGAGATTATTTGAATTTCTTTTATGAGAAAACATCTAACAGTGTGACAGAGATTGTCGAAAAAGTGGGTTCTGCTGAAGATTGGTTGAAGGATTATTATGAAAAATACGAAGGGTTTGTAAGAAGAAATGATGAACACATGCTTTCACATTCTCGTGAAGGCAGCAGCAGTGTTGGATCACCTGTTCTTGGGAAAAGAAAACTCGAGGAAGAGTTTGCTTTATACAAGTCTCGAAGGAGGACTGCACGGCAAACGAAATCAGAATTTGCCATATATTTAGAAGAAGATGTTGAGGAGGATAGTGAGAGTTTCGATGTTTTGGACTAGTGGAAGAGACATGCTAAAAAATTCCCGGTATTGTCATCTATGGCCGGAGATTTCCTAGAAATACCCCTCAGCACTGTATCTTCCGAATCAGCATTCAGTTGTGGGGGCAGGATACTTGGTGACACACGAAGTTCGTTAACACCTGAAATGCTTGAAGCTCTCATTTGTGCGAAAGATTGGTTAATTAAAGCCAACGATCCTTTGATCAATATTCCAGGTGCTGAAGGTATAATAGTGATAAATGATTCCTCCATAAATGTTCTGTGTATTTCAATCATGAAGTAGTGATCATAAATCCACCCGTGGATTGTGTTGAATTTGGACTGAGCAACTTTGTGGGTTGGGTTGGGTGGGGTTAGCTCAAGGAATTCTTGGTCTGGATTGGAGTGACAATTTTGCTATAGTCACTTTGGGTTGGGTTAACCCATTGGCAGGCTTAGAGCCAAGCCAGGCGGAACATTGCGAAGCGCTCTGGAGTCGGGTGAAGCTGTTGAGTCCAAGATTGCGATCGGCCTATGGAACAGATGACAAAGGCCACCCTAAAATGCCTTCCGAGAAAGGACTGTCCCAGTAGGCGACCTATACATAACCCACTAAAAATAAAAAATATATCTGTAAATATTTCTATCAAAGGGATTGAAATATAAAAGCCTATGTAAGCCAAACCCTAGGATTAGCTGTTTGAGCTATAAATTTATAAATATCCCAAAAAAAAAACACTGTAAGACATTGGAAAAAATAATACATATCTTGCTGTTCCTTCATCCCAACAATTACTACTATTATTATCAATCATCTAAAACCCGTAACGGCACACTTTCGTCCATGACTGATGCTGATGAAGTTCTCCGTAATGATATGTCATGGAGTTGTTTGTTTCTAACTATCAACACGCTACACGCAGTGGCGGAGCTACCACAGGGTCTCTGGGGTCTCGAGAACCCACTACCGTACTATAACCATGGGAGATCCCATGAAAACCCCACTAAAATTTTCTGTCATACATCTATTAGAAGAGGGGGCTATAATTTTATATAGTTTGTTCAAACCCTCCAGTTAATCTTTTCTGGATCCATCCCTGGCTACACGTGGTTGTCATGTTAGGTTGTGTGGCTTGCGAACTGTGTTTTCCTCGTGTCTCCTTTGGAATGGAGGGAAATTAAAGCATTTGAGTTCGTATGGGTTACTTATTTGAATTCTAAGTTCAAACCGGTACTTCATGCGAGAATCACGTCAGGAATATGAAAGGCTCAAAGAGGGGAAAAAAACATGCAGCACGAACCGAGGCCCACCGGACCGGGCACATGCGCGGCCACTGGCAGGCGGGGGCTACCGCTGGCTGCGGGGGCTGCGGGCCAGAGTCTAGGCTGGACTGGCCGGACGGGAATCGCCTCCCCGTCTCGCACCTGGCAATCAGCATCGGCCGGCGACCACACACACGAGTACACGACACATCCGATCCCCATCCGTCCTCCGTACGTGCCAATGAAATATTCGGCCGGTGGGGCGGAGGCACGCTGTCTGCAGCCAGACGCAGACCACCGGCGAGTGCGATCCGAGTGGCCGAGCCCGAGAGAAAAACCACGGCCACACCAAACCCGCCGTGCGGGGGAAGAAAAAAAGCACAATATTCTCCCTCTCGGCCTCTCCTCGCCGTAGTGCCCCCTCGGACCTCGGTTGATTTTTTGGTTCGCGCACGTCACCACCGAGAGTCCACCACCGCGGCGCACGGGAGGAGGCCCGATTCGATTCCACTCGCCCGTTCGTTCGCTCGTCCTATTTTTTTCTTCCCCCCACCACGGCAATTTTTTCTCTCCCACGGCCGCCACGCCACTGCCAGTCAACAGCTGCACCTGGGCTCCTCCTCTCCTCGTCGCCGTCACCGTCGCGCGCCGTCGTGTTGGTGGTGGTGGTGGTGTGCGGGCGGGCGGGCGCCGCTCGCGTCCCCGTGACGCTGCTTCCCAGCGCCGCTGCCTCCGCCTTCCACGCCGCGTGGGCGCGAAGGCGGGGCTTGGGAGTTGGAGGAGGAAGGATAGGGGGCACGGCACGGGTGGCAGTAGTGCAAGGCAAGCAGGTCCCCGTGTATAATTCGGGCGGCGGCGGCGGCGGGTTGGATCGGGGAATCGGCGACGCGGGCCAGAGGAGGAGGAGGATGGGGCAGCAGGCGGCGGAGGCGCAGCCGCTACTGCTGCAGGGGGACCAGGTGGACGCCGAGTGGGGCTGCAGGCCGCACCGCATTGTACTTTTCGTCGAGCCGTCGCCCTTCGCGTCAGTGCTCTCTCTCCTCGTAGTCCTACTAGTCAGATCATCGTACTAGCTTAGATCAGATCGAGATGTCAAACCTGCCGCTCTTTCGATCTATTGAACTGCAAAGTCAATAGTTTTTGCTCGTTGCTGTTTCGCAGTTACATCTCTGGGTACAAGAATCGCTTCCAGAACTTCATCAAGCATCTGCGAGAGATGGGCGATGAGGTATATGATCTTTTTACTTCATCTGGCTGCTGGCTGCTTGTGTGTGTAGGGCGTGTATATACCTTGGAATTGACGTGTGCTCTTTCGAAACAGATGTTGGTGGTGACCACGCACAAGGGAGCTCCCGAGGAGTTCCATGGAGCTAAAGTCATTGGTTCGTGGAGGTAATCCAATACAAACTAGAAACTACTTTTACCTTCCATTTAGCATTCGGTCTACCTGAGGAGCACCAAACACAGAATACAAGAATTACTTTCCTGAAAGCACAAAACTTGCTCTCACTGCGAAATAGGGCCTTACTCGCATGCTGAAGCAAAAGGAAACAATGCAAGCGAAGTGTCATCTAGTCAACTAGCATGCTGATTTGGAACATGTGCTTGTTGTGAGGTGAAATTGGTGATGTTGCACTTGTTTTCCAATATTTTGTCTGGTCAAGTCGTCAAGTATATATATTTTAGAGGACACTAGAATTCTTCTTGTTGAAATTTCTTCTATCTGCATGCACTTAATTGCCTAAATTTCTATTTCTCAGTTTTCCATGTCCGTTATACCAAAATGTTCCACTCTCGCTGGCGTTGAGCCCTAGGATATTTTCGGCGGTGGCTAAATTTAAGCCGGACATAATCCATGCTACTTCACCTGGAGTTATGGTAATCATTAAAAACCCAATAGGTATCATTGTCCTTTCTTTTTGTAGTTTCTCACTATATATTGTGATTTCAGGTTTTTGGTGCTCGCTTTATCGCAAAGATGCTTTCAGTCCCAATGGTGATGTCATATCATACCCACCTTCCAGCGTGAGTTTCTCTTCTTAAAATCATGAATACTTCTGCGATATGAGTCCTGCATGCATAATATTGTTACGAGCAGATCTTACAGCCTCTAAATTAGGGACCAGATATAGTACTGTAGGGCAAGACCATCATAGTCCAGTGATTTCCCTGGCAGAGATATTTACTTTCGAAATTTTGGGAAAAAAAAACACATTACTATGTCATGCTATTGGAGGATTAAAAAAAAACTTGGATGCATATGCATGGAATCAACAGGCAAAAGTGTTGCCTCCCCAATGTTGATTAAAGCATCCAACCGAGGCACATCATTACAACACTAATTCTTTCTGTTGCAAATTATAATACCTGGTGTTGATTCTTGAGCTGAATTCTTGTCATGACTTTCAGGTATATACCAAGATACAATTTAAATTGGTTACTTGGACCCACATGGAGTCTTATAAGTAAGCATAACATCACCTCTCAGTTTGTTCTTCATAAAAGAAATAATCTGACAGCAAAAATACAACTGTTCTTTCTCATTAAATTTGTACTGACACTCTTATTTTGTTTTGAAGGATGTCTTCATAGGTCTGCAGATCTTACTCTAGTTCCGTCAGTAGCTATTGCCGAGGACTTTGAAACTGCGAAAGTAGTATCAGGTTAAACAATTAAGATAAATCTATATTTCTTCATTTCATTCCTTCATCCATCATAACCGTAGTTTCCTTGTCTCTTCAGCAAATAGAGTTCGGCTTTGGAACAAAGGTGTTGATTCTGAAAGTTTCCATCCTAAATTTCGGAAGCATGAAATGCGCATTAAATTGAGGTTTGACCTATTTCTTTAATATTCAATAGCAGTATGTGAAAAAAAATTGTGCATAGCTAACTTATTTTCCTTTTTCTCTCTTGTTAGTGGTGGTGAACCAGAAAAACCACTCATAATACATGTGGGTCGTTTCGGGCGTGAAAAGAATTTGGATTTTCTGAAAAGGTAATCTTTTTGGCTTGTACATATCACTGTTTGTCAGTGTAAAATCAACTCCAAACAAAATTTGAAGAATATAGATGGGGGAAAAATGGAAAGAGAAAGCTCCTCAACTAACAATGGATTATTTCATAGTACATCCGTCCCAAAATATAACAACCTAGAACCGAATGTGATATTTCCTAGTACTATGAATCTGGACAACTACAGTGAAAACATCTGTGGCATGTTGTTTTCTCTGGCATGGCCATTTTCATTAGTTGTCCCTGAGTTAGCATAACTTGCAATCGTCTTAGCCTTTTAGCTTGAATCATGCTTGTAATATGACTTACATGGTCCTGTTTATGACTTTAACCAAGCAGCCATTTCAAATTCGTCACATGTATCATAGATCACTTATCTGTATGTCACATGTTCACTACATGGTTGTTATTTTGTCATGTCATCAGAACTTTGCTTATTTTGGTGACAATACAGGGTTATGGAAAGGCTCCCAGGAGTAAGAATTGCTTTTGTTGGTGACGGACCATACAGGTGCATTCCTTAATGTTAAATATTTTTCGTTATCAACAAGACTCATACATGATAACATATATATTGAAATGACACTATTTGGAGCACTTCAGTTTTATCTTTTGCGTATGACTGGTATTATATGCACAACTGTAGGTGCCTAGCCATCTGTTTGATCCCTATAGTTTCATCTTGAATTTGGAGAAACTTATGCGGCCTGTTTAATCTTTGGCAGGGCTGAGCTGGAAAGAATGTTTACTGGCATGCCTGCAGTATTCACTGGAATGCTCCAAGGCGAGGAGCTCTCACAAGCATATGCCAGTGGCGACTTGTTTGCAATGCCTTCAGAATCTGAGACACTTGGTCAAGTAGTGCTGGAGTCCATGGCTTCTGGAGTCCCAGTTGTCGCTGCTCGTGCTGGAGGTATACCTGATATAATACCCAAGGACAAGGAGGGTAAAACCAGTTTCTTGTTTACACCCGGGGATCTCGACGAGTGTGTGAGGAAGATCGAACAGCTCCTTTCGTCGAAGGTTCTAAGAGAATCCATTGGAAGGGCTGCTAGGGAGGAGATGGAGAAGTGTGACTGGAGAGCAGCCTCGAAGACAATACGCAATGAGCACTACTGTACCGCAACGTTGTACTGGAGGAAGAAAATGGGCAGAACTAACTAGGTTTCGCTTATCGATTCAGGAATCGTTCACCGCCGTCTCCACCTAGTTACTGTTAATAACCAAAGAGTTTGTACATTGTATCCAACAGCAGCTCGCGAGTTTGTGCGGCTAGCTGCATTCATGTGTTCACAAATCACAATCATGGGATGGCCACTGACCAAAAGCTTGTATGCGAGTCATGTACATTAGACAGCTCTTTGAGATTGGCGATTACTATCGAAGTGCTAACTGCTAATTTAGAATACTGGAGGAGTTGCCTGCTGTAGTGCTGTCTCTAGAGTGAAAGTTGAATTGTGTGTTGTTACTGTGAGCTGCTACTGCCAACTTTCTGCCTTTCTGGTAGCTTTGCTACATTTGCGTTTTGAACATTGCCATAGCGTAAAACCTCGAGACTACGGCTGTGTTCAGATCCAAACTTTGGATCTAAACTTTCAACTTTTTCCATCACATCAACCTTACATACACACAACTTTTCAGTTACATCGTACCAATTTCAACCCAAACTTTCAACTTTGGAAGGAACTAAACACAGCCTACTGCATTTTTTCATGCCGACTGCGAGCTTGGCAGAGTGTTGAGTCTGTTCCACCAGCAGAAGTGTGATCTGTAACCCTGTATCGGCCGGCAGTTAAGCTGCAGGTCTAAACAGCACATTTCACGCATACCTATCTTATCATAATATTTATGTATACAGGAATATTATTAACTTATATAAGCACAAAAGCGAAGATGAAGTCAAACAGCAAGAAATACGTCCTGATGTAAATATGTACTACTTATTGTCCAACTCCACCAAAGGCTGCAGTACTTAAAAACAAAGCTACAACTTAGGAAGAAAGGGTCAAACAGCAAGAAATACGTCCTGTTGTAAAAATGTAATGTCCAACTCCGACAAAAGGCTGCAGAACTTAAAAACAAAGCTACAACTTTATACTTCACAAGATGAATCAACAAATTGAATGAGCGCGGAAAAATGTGGACTTAATATGGTTTTCCACAGAACATATACAACTATTGCAGCAAAACTAACACTACTTAAAACAAAGCTACAACTTTCCATTTTACAAGATGAATCAACAAATTGTATGAGTGCCCCAAAATGCGGACTTAATGTGGTTTTCCACATAACATATACAACTATTGCAGCAAAACTACACTATCTCTATCAACACAATCCCCTCCGCCCCAAAAAAAAAGGTGATATCCATGCAAACAGCACAAGCAACATGTTTTCATTGACAATTGATTAACACCACAATATTACTCCCTCCGCCAAGAAAAAAGGTGGTTTTCATGCACTATGGCATAAGAAACATGTAATTGTGCACAGTCGATGTCTCAGCAAGCAGGTTTTCTGTCTCTGCTCATTACTTGTTTGCATTTGACTTGCTGAACAATTAAACAGAAAGGCCATGGACCGTGACAGTAGTAGAAAATCATCAGCTGTACGTTTGGAGAATTGGACCTTCCATGTACTGAATGGCCCTATCCATTATGCTCACCAACAAAATGGTAAGTTTTCAGAGGAATTGCAGCTGCAGATGCATCTCACTACAAAATCAGTCCTGAAGTATGTACGGGTAACAACAAGTAACAACTGCAAGTCACATATGAGAAGCTTCAAGCTATTGCTGTAGACTTTTGGCATTTGAAGCAGCATTGTTATTCATCTTGCAGCACTATCATGACTTCTCCACCTTGACTGAGAATGCTGTCTAGAAATGCAATAAGTTTTTCTTTGTCCTGAAACTCCTTGGGTGCAGAAAAATCACTATCCAAATTAAACCAAGTGCCATTAATGCTTCGAATTGCCACCCAATGCCGGCCAGTCCAAAGCCCTCTGAACCTCCTGACGGGTACATTGATCATCAGACCAAACAATGCATCTGCATCCAGATCGATTGAAGAAGCCCCTTTCCGATGATCATGCCAGATTACCTTCTTCTTTCTAGCTTCTAATGCTGTGATGAGTACATTTACATCATAGTTCCCGGTGAATACGTTGTGGTGGGGCTTAAAAATCAATGACATAGGAGTCCAGTGCTCCTTATTTGGATCAATCTGGACGAGATTTCCAGCAATCCCATCTAACTCAGCTCGGGTGAAAGATTCCTTTTCCTGAACCATACAAAGCATAATTGACAGTTAAAAATCGGTACACCCATGCTGTTTCTGGTAGGATCACACTACCTTTTCTGATTTGGTCATAAACGGTTAAGCAGGCAGGAATTGAAAAACACTTGTTTGTAATGCTCATGCAATCATATAGACTCCTTGCTTGCAAGTACAAAATTACTCTCAGATTCACATAAGCAGCAATTTCACATGTCGTGAAGAAAATCAACAGGACATAAAGATTTATCTCTACTAAGCTATCAGCTGAAATTCATGATTGACGAGAGCTTTAATTATGATTGAACAAAAGCGTGCTAGACGAATGTGAAATAGATATAAATGTGATGCGCGGTTGATGAATTCATGGAAAACATTGTCCAATCCGCCGAACCGTTCCAACAAATAACACTGAGAGTGACCGACTTAAGTATGCTGTAGCTTTCAGATGCGAAAGAACACTATTCCAGTTTTCCTGCGTCCAATATCGTGAGATATTTCACCAGCACACAAGTTTTGATGACATCGATTCACATGGAAAAAAAAATGCACATCATGGACAACAGAATTGGAGTACAACGTTCAACTGCTAACAATTTCCTCACTAATATCGATTAGTGACATAAGCCACGCAAAATAAGGAAATCATACGAAAAAGGAACGGAAGTTATGTGAAACTCTCGAGAGAAAAAAAAGTAGAGACGGTAGATAGAACTTCTTTTGTTTAGAACACAACAGGATAACACCGGAGGGGAGAGAGACGACAGACGAGCTACCTGCATAAGGTTGTTGAGGGCGTGGAGGAGACAGAACTGCAGCCGTTGCCTCTCGTGATACACCTTGCTGCTTCTGCTGCTGCCGCCGCCGCCGCCCATCGCACTCGATCCCTCCTCGTCTTGTTTTGCTTCCGATTTGGGCCCCGATTCCATGCGGAGATGGTGCAGGGAGGAGAAGGAGGGTTCGGGTTCGAAGGAAAGATTACAGCGGCCCAAGATTCCTCCTCTTTCTTCTCGCCGCCGCCCGACGGCCGCCGCGCCGCTACCCCCGGCAGGAACTTCTGGGTCGTCCTTCCCTTCTTTACCAAACGCAACAGCACACAGGACAGGAGATTCACCGAGTCCCGGACTCAGGACACGTCGCGTGTTGTGGTCATTGCTATTTCGCGAATACAATTTCGAAAAGAATTCTCTCCATCTCGCTTCCTATAACTTTTTTGCTACCGAAAACTTATATACTACCGGTCACTGAAATTAGGAAAAACTTCAGCCGACAAAACTATAACATTGCAAAATCACGAGTTAAAAACACATGTTGAAAAATATTATCTTATGTGTCATTGATACATCTGTTTAGACTTCACATATTATGATACTTTACTACTCGCTTATTTTTATGATGGCAATTTTTAAAAAATTTCTCAATTAGAAACTCCAATTAGAATTGCTGAAACAACATCACTTTTACAGCTTTACCCTCTTTTCTAGGGTAGGGAACTGTTTACACTAAAATTGTCTGTGCTCTAAATATTCGTAGTTTCAAAAGTAAACATATATAATAAAGAACTCTAGGTTTTTAACCATACCAGCAACCTCAAATTCTCGCTTCATCGCATAAGCATGGGTTTGGTTAAATGATTGGAATCGGTTGGGTCGGGATAAACCTATTTTTTAGGGTGTTTGATTTGGATGTAAGTGAGATGGAATGTTCCTTGAAAATAAATATTCCCCCTAAATTCGAATTAGCACTATACTTAGAGCATCTCCAACAGATGCCTAAACAGGTCCCAAAAATTAAATTTTAGGATTTTAGTTCAAAGGAAAGCTCCAACAGCTGCCCAAACTTGCTCCCAAAAATCCCCCACGCCCAATCCAGTCCCAAAACCGAGTCAGATTTGGGGCAGCCCTGGGCGTTCCCAATCGCAGCGATCACACGTAGATTTCTTTGCTCGCGCCAATTTCTTCCTCCTCCCTCCTCTCCTCGCCGTGCCCTGCTGCCGTCGCTCAGTCCCCTCTCCTAGCTCGCATCAGATGCCGCCACCCTGCCGGTATCGGGCTTTCTCCGTTCCATTCGTCTCTGTCCAGACCGGCACCTCCATCCACGCCGTCGTGGCCGTTGTCGTCCACGCCGCTAGGGCCATCTGTCTGCATACTATCGGCAGGTCATCCTGATCCACCCGCCGATCTGTAAGCTGCTCAAGCCCTAGTACTGAATGAACCTAACGGCCTGTTTGGTTGGAGGGAGTTTTTAGGAGGGATTGGGAGTTTAGAGGGATGAGGCTATTAAGAGTTTTGTTTGGTTGGGAGACATGAGAATTTTGGTAGGATGGAGATAGGGAATTGAGGAAGGAACTCCCTTCTTTTCAATACCTGGGTAGGGGCAGGTAATTGGGAGGGAATTCCTCCTTTACTTTTTCTAAGCAAATCTCAGCCATCCCTTTTTATTAATGACATAATCTCCAACTAAACTCCTTATCAATTTCCATCACCTCTACCAAACAAGATATTAGGATTAAAAATCAAATTCCCATCTTAATCTCATCATCAATTCCCTCGTGTAAACTCCCAATCCCCTTCCCTCGAGTTACCAAACAAGCCGTAAAGAAAGTTTTGACGATGTGTATCGTTGTACTTTTTCTAGAGCAAATTGAATCTGAATATTGTTTGGTGGATGTCTATTTGCTATTTTGCTTGCACACAATGACAAATATGGTGTTAAGTTTTGGTTGATTGAGAAATCATTATTTTGAGGTTAAATTGTCGGATGAGGGCAACACTGCACTTGGTTTTCAGTTTGCTCAATGTTTTTCAATTTGCAACACTACACTGCACTGCCTGTCATGAAGCAATTGCATACTGAAGCTTCAAGAGATTCTGCAAGCTATCAAGTCTTTGATGCTGAATAATTTGGCGTTGGTAGTACTGACATTGCTGAACTGAATAATCTGGTTTAGAATGTAGTCTGAAAATCTAAACCATATTATGCGTGTGGTACAGTCAAAATTTCAGTAAATAATAATATGTTTATGCCTTTTTACATAACTCAGGAAAAGGAGAGGGCATGACCTAGCCTTATTCTTGTGATGATTTGTGACACCAAATCAGGGAAGGAGAGGGCTAGAAATGGTAATGTTTGTTGGCAATCATAATTGGACTTCAGAAATTCAATGTATTTGTTAGGAATTCACCTAGATATATTCACGGGTATTATGAATTCAAGGGATTTGTTTTGTAGCGATTTCAGGGATCCCTGTTTATGGTTATACTTTTTTTAGATAATGGAAGCTTTATTAATCTCAATAAAACTCTATCAAGTGATACAATTATTCTGAGAGCACCTCCGGCTTCTGCACCCAAAGAGTGCACACAACCAACAAGAAAGAAACAAAAGATAAACTCATCATCCAAATAGCATGGACAAAAAGAACTTCAGGAGCCCTCTAACCGTAGCCTAGAACACCACCCATGCGCCGGAGTAGAAAACTCCATGGCCACTAGCTCCAATTGTTGACAAGCCGCAATGATAGTACCCCGCAAATTGACCTTCTGAAGGATAGCCCATGAGCGGAGCCAATGTGTAATAAAAAAGATAACCTGCAAAGGAGAAGATATGTTTTTTCTTTCAAAAACCACATCATTTCTGCAAAGCCAAATAGACCAAATAGTGGTAGTTGCCCCTAATAAGACCAAAGATCTCAAATTGCGTGGTTGTCTTCTTATCCAATGCCCAAACATATGAGTTGTACTATTAGGTAAACTAATATTCGAAGCAAACTGGATTAAAGACCAAACTGCGCGGGCAAAACGACAATCAAAGAACAAATGATTAATAGTTTCATCTTTGTGGCAGAAAGAACAAGACTTGTTTCCTCTCCAATTCCTTTTAATAAGATTATCTTTTGTTAAGACTACTCCATGACGTAAGTACCATAAGAAGATCTTAATCTTTAGGGGGGCTTTGATCATCCAGATTCTTTTGTTTATATTGGGAACATCGGTCTGCACCAACGAAAGATAAAGAGATTTAACCAAGATTCTGTCATCAGTGGTTAGATTCCATTTAAACTCATCTTGGTCATGAGATAATATAATATTAGCGATGCGTGAGAGAAGGTGATTCTACGCCACTAACTTAGAGCGAGTAAGGTCCCTGCGCCAAGAAAGTTTATGGTTATACTATGTCCTCATTTTCAATTTCAAGTAAAGCTTGTAAGCATTTGCCAATTATAGTCATCCCAAGATCCATGATTGTTGGAGAGCTCAGTTTCAGCACATATGTTTCGTCAAACCAGAACTTTGTCATAGTGTAATCTTTACTTGACCTAGATCCACGATATAGTGTCATAATGCAAGGCTTACTAGCTGCTGGCACCCTCACCGTGCCGCAGGCTGGCCGCGCATTGCCCGGGCTACCGGCTCCCAGCTGCAATGCCCCGATCGCCTAACCGTCATGTCTCTATGGTGATTGCCTGCTAGCCTGCTAACGACTACTCCCTCCGTCCCAAAAAAAGGCAAATCGTGGGTTCCCGTGCCAACGTTTGACTGTCCGTCTTATATGAAATTTTTTTATAATTAGTATTTTCATTGTTGTTAGATGATAAAACATGATTAACACTTTATGCGTGACTTATCTTTTTAATTTTTTTATAATTTTTTCAAATAAGATGGACGGTCAAACGTTGGACACGGAAATCAGGGTTTGTCTTTTTTTGGGACGGAGGGAGTATGTGGCCGCGATCGGCCTGCCATGCCCTGATCTTGCCAACGATCAGCCTAGTAGCGACATACTCCCTCCGTTTTTTAATAGATGACGCCGTTGACTTTTTCTCACATGTTTTACTATTCGTCTTATTTAAAAAATTTATGCAAATGTATAAGATATAAATCACACTTAAAGTACTATGAGTGATAAAACAACTCATAACAAAATAAATTATAATTATGTAAATTTTTTGAATAAGACGAATGATCAAACATGTGAGAAAAAGTCAACGATGTCATCTATTAAAAAATGGAGGTAGTACAAGAGAAACCAGATTGCTAGAAATAGTTGAAGAGGACCCACCAGCGATGATGTGGCATAATTCAATGCTTTTGGGAACTAAAAATAGGGAAGCTCGTGGACAAGGGGGTGATTTTTGGGCTCAAATTATTTTGGGATGACCCCAATCTGAGATTTTTGGGAGTTAAATTTTAGGCATCTATTGGAAATGCTCTTAACAACTAGTGGACCAATTCAACCCACTTCCTCTCATTGATTGTGGACCACACCCTCCGATTCCTTAAAAAAAAATCATCACATCCCTCACGCCAAAATACATACAAATGGTCCCTTTGAATCACATGAGTGGAAAACGGAGGAATAGGAAAAACATAGGATTATAACAGAAATGCAAATGTAAAATAAATGATTACAAAACACAATAAAAACATGTGAATGACCGTTTGATTGATCCACAAGAAAAATACATGAATTTGAGGAGAGACAAAAACTCAAAGGAATTTTTCCATGAAGTTCTACCTCATGTTAAACTTTCTCAAAAACTTATATGAGAAGAAACATTCCATAGGAATTTCATTGGATCTCATGGGGTATTCAAAGAGCGAAATCCTCTAAAATTTCTATAAATTCCCTTTGAATCAAATGGAGCCATCCCATTCCAAAACAAGGGATGGACCTAAGTACCTAACATATCCCACCTCATGCCAAATCAAATACATGAGTGTTGTTTTGAACACAATCTAAGATGAGAATTTGTTTTCGCCGCTCATTGAAATCATATCTATTGCGCCATCGACAATTTTGAGATCCTCCCGTTTGTCATTACTTAGTTGGCGCTCTACTGCTCATCCCTATTTATCTTCTGTCATTCCTCTCTATCAATAGTGCTTGGTCAACAAATTTGCCCCGAAAGACGATTAAATAAATTTTATAGTGGGAGAAAACACATGTTTTTTTTAAAAAAAAACTTCAAAAAAAAATCAGCATTACAATTGTCATAAGAATGGGAAAACCTGCAACGTCCCAAACAAGGCCTTGCAAAGGATCATAAGGTCTTCCCAGCGCTGATGACTGATGAGTGATGAGAACGATGGGCGATCCAACGAGAAATCAAGGGCAGCAGCATATTCCAAGGGTTCGACTTACCGCCGGTAACCGCGTGTTTACCGTGATTACCGGCTTTATCGCGGGGGTACGGTAATATAAATACCGCGGTAACCTCCTTAAATTCAAATAAATTTAAAAAATAATTTGAATTTTTGATAAATTTTGCACCATTTCGTACGGTTTTTTGCGGTAACCGTGCTTACTGCCGGGGCACGGTAACCCCGCCCCCGGCGGTTTGGGAAACCTGGGGGCGGTTTGGGAAACCTGATTCCAACTCGCAGGAACTCAAGTATACTCAACGCAGCAGTACAGCGCGAGAAAACCATGTTAACAGTAAATCTATTTATACATCGCTGTCCAGTCTTCTCCTATGAAGTGTACAGACTGCGCCATCTCCACAACACGCCAAGCCGTGAGATATTCTGCAATATCCCTCTGTTCCCTTTTCATCTGAACTAAAAACCTGAAGGGAAAAAAAAAAGGCCCACTGTTTCACGGTTGAAGAACTCGTCGATTTAATTTTGTCAAATCTAATCTTTAAATTTTAACTATTCGTGTAGGAGTACCCTCCATCTCTGTCGAATTAAACCGTGTTTTTAACGTAAGACGACCAATTTAAAAAGAGTCGAAGTGGTCTGAAGTCTGAACTCTGAATTTTGTTGGGGGAAGAACCGAAGAGGCAGTGCCGTAAAGGCAAAAGAAACAAGAAACACGGCCCGAGTCTAGTCGACCACGCCCCGCGTCCGTCTTCCCCCCCAAAACTTCAGCAAAAGCAAACGAAGTCTTCTCAGATTAATTCTCGCGTCGTGTCAGACCACGCTGCCGCGGGGGATCTGCCGGGTGGCGAGGCTGCGGAGATGTCGGACGCGCTGATCAACGGCGTCGCCGGCGCCGGCGGCGGGATCATCGCCCAGCTCCTCACCTACCCGCTCCAAACCGTACGCGCCACCTCTCCTCCATCCTTGGATTGCTAGATTGTTTGGGTCAATTGCTTGGTTGTTTAATAACGGAGGGTTTGGGGGTGGGTGCGCAGGTGAACGCGCGGCAGCAGACGGAGCGCGACCCCTCCAAGCCGGCGTTCAAGGACGGCGCCGTCCGCCAGATGTGCCTGGTGCTTCTCCTCCTCCTCCTCCCCAAATTCCCTTCTCGTGTTCATGCGAGCTGACGAGCAATCTAACCCGACCCGAGTCTAATGCTACCGCGATCTCTTTGTTCTTCTGTTCTTCTGTGGTAGGTGGTGAAGCATGAAGGGTGGGAGCGGCTGTACGGCGGCCTCATGCCCTCGCTTGTTGGCACTGCGGCCTCCCAGGTTGCTTTCGTTTTGCTGATCGATTTTCACCAGCTTCCCTGCCTTGTTGGAGGATTAGCTGTACCAGCTTCTGAATCGAATCATTGTGTCTGTAGGGTGTCTACTATTACTTCTACCAGATATTCCGGAGCAGGGCGGAGGCCGCGGCTCTCCAGCGATCCAGGAGAGGAATCGGCGATGGATCCGTCGGGATGCTCCAATCCCTCACTGTCGCTGCGCTTTCTGGGTAATCCTATTTTGCTTGTGCGTCTGCCATTGGCTTATGCTGTTATGCATTGTGTTGTCTTTTTCTCGGTATGATAGTTGTAAGCTCATTCTTGTTCTTAATGGTTTACTTATGATGAACAACCTTCGGTGCTGTTGTTTTGTTTGCGCAGATGTGTTAATGTACTTCTCACAAACCCAATTTGGGTAATTGTTACACGAATGCAAGTAAGTAATGCACATTATTGCAGTATTATTTCCCAACTGACTACTTTTAGTGTAATAAGAAATTCAGTGGCACATCCTGAAGTATAATTCATTCTTGTCTGCAGACTCACCGGAAGGCAAACAAACAGCAGAGTCCTCTGGATTTGACGTGTGTTCTTGACAAGGCCCTACAAGCTCCCGCTGTTGAAAACATACCTCACAAGACTATCCATGTTGTATGTAACTTTGATCATTTCTCTTTCAGGATGAGATACTCTATTCTTGCAATTACATGCTGCTGATTACTGGATCCAAGACTAACAGCTGTTCTTATATGGAAAAAAGGCCTCATTTAGTTTTTCCTAGGCCTCATCCCAGTTCCTAAACTGTTAGCTCAGCTTTTTTTTTTTGTCCCTAAACTGCGGATAAAACCCATCCTTCATCTCTGAAAACCAAGTAAAACTTGTCCTCCTAAGTACTTCATATAGTCAATATGCAAGTGCTAATGATTCAGACTTTGTTTGGGGCATGGTTGATTGACTCCGTTTGGCTGCAGATTCAGGACCTTTACAAAGAAGCTGGATTTTTGGGCTTCTGGAAAGGTGTAGTTCCAGCTCTTATTATGGTAAGTCTTATGTCGCATTTTCTTTTGCTAAGTTATTTCTTTTTTACAAGTTATTGTTTCCATGTTTCATCTGTCATCAGGTTAGCAACCCTGCAATCCAATTCATGTTGTACGAGACTCTTTTGAAGAAGTTGAAAAAGAGACGTGCCTCTAATTTGAAGGGAGCTGATGGACTGACTGCTCTTGAAGTAAGCTTTTGGCTTTTGGCTTTTCTGGTGACTGGGATCATTGTACAGATTTATTAGGATATAACCAATTTGCATCATGCTAACTTGCTGCATTGGGGCCTGAATCTACCCGTAACGCTGACTTGAAAGTTTGTTCTTCTAGTAACGATGTTTCATGTCCAGTAATTATATGTTGCATGTCTTAACTTCATTTACCATGATGATTTGCTGAAAACACTAGTATTTCTTATATGCTCCTAATACTACTATTTCTTTGTTAGTTAGCTATGTTATAGACCGTCTTCATCTCACGCTGTAAAATCCTTGTTCAGATTTTCCTTCTTGGTGCTGTTGCCAAACTGGGTGCGACTGTTGTTACATATCCTCTTCTAGTTGTGAAGGTGATTATTTGAACACCAGTTACAGCAGCAGCCGTTTCTGTGCACAATTGAGCAGACATGTCAAGTTAAACCATGTTTTTTTTTTCTACAGGCAAGACTTCAGGTGAAGCAAATAATTGATGATGACAAGAGGCACCGCTACAAAGGTACATCGCTGGCCTTTATTCTTTAAACTTCATTTTATTATTTAGAGTGAATTATTATTTAATGAGTGATGTTGCTCCATATCCTGTTTCTGATAGTCTTTACTTCTCTTCTGGTAATAATATTTGCTGTTCTCTGACTTTGTTACCAAATACGCTATGCAAATTTTATTGCTTGCAGGCACATTTGATGCGATCACAAAGATGATACGTTATGAAGGTTTGTCAGGGCTTTATAAAGGAATGAGCACAAAAATCGTACAAAGTGTTTTTGCTTCTGCTCTCCTTTTTATGATTAAGGAGGAACTGGTGAAGGGCGCTCGATTATTGGTAACCGGCAACACCAGCCTTGTTAAGAAGTTACCATCGAAGCCATTAAGATGATCTAGGTTGTACAAGAGTTAGTTCCCTACTTATACCACAATTGTTTCCATAAAGCGATGGACAGAGTTGCCAAGCGCCCCTGTTAGGAGATATCAAGTTATCTGTGAGACTCTGATCGACTGTAGGCTCTCCAAAAAAAGGAGATTAAAGATGTAGTACAATTACCACTGTGATTCTTGTAGGAACCAATAATGATGGTATATATTGGGTAGGCTATCTCTGTTGCTCGTGTAAAGTATACTGTTATGGAAGATTGAAACACTAGAAAATAAGTTGGCAATGAGAATCGCAAGCGCTAGTCATCTGTTCAGATTACTTGAGTTTCTTTAGCTTGTTTGTTAGAGCTAACCGAGAAGAGGATCGCAATCGTGAAAACTTCGCAAGTGTTCAGAACAAAAGTAGAAGTAGAAAATTTGGAGTTCCTGTCCATTTTTAGCATAACTGTGTCTATGGTGCGCCCCATCTGTCAATGTGGTTCTCAGGCAACTGTTCTGATACACAAGTGCTAATGAGCAATCTGACCCGACAAAAAGGAAATGAAATTTAATTTGATTATTTCAAACTCATTTTGGTGAAACTAAGCCTCCTTCTTTACTAAGATGCAAATTCTTCCTAACACATTTTTTAAACTGCTAAATGGTATGTTTCATATGAATTTTTTACATAAAAATATTTTAAAATATCAAATAAATCAATTTCAAGTTTAAAATAATCAAAACTTAATTAAACATAAGCTAATGGGCCGTTTTCATTTTGCTTTCCTATTTTATTTCATCTTTATTAGAAAAAAAACACCATCTAATAGACTAATACTGCCTCGAGGGTTTTTCTTTAACAATATCTAAGTTTTTTTAATGAAGAGATGCTTCTTCTAAAATCCAAACACATAGTAGTGTGTGTATCTTACTGGTCTGGCGCGACCGACTAAGCTGACACTCGCGAGAGTGTGGCCGGTCCGGTCGGGTGGGGGTGGATAAGGAGATAGAGAAGCGGCCGCTCCGCAGCTGCAGCGGCAAAGCCTCCCCGTCGTCCAGCCCACGCAGCGCACCGCAGCGAGCGAAGCCGCCGCAATGGCCGCCTCCTCCGTGGCCTCGACTCTCCTCCTCTCGCTCTCCTCTTCCTCCTCGCCCTTCCTCTCCCCCACCTCGGTCTCCTTCCTCCCATCCGCCGCCGCCGCCGCCTCCTCCTCCCCGCGCGTCGCCGTCGCCGCCGGCAAGCAGAAGGCGGCTATCTCCGTCCTCCGCGCCCTTCGCGCCGAGGCGGCCACCCTCCCGGTTCTCTCCTTCACCGGGGAGAAGGTCGGGGAGGTCGCCCTCGACCTCAAGTCGGCGCCGCCCTCCACCGCGCGCGCCGTCGTGCACCGCGCCATCATCACCGACCGCCAGAACAAGCGCCGCGGCACGGCCTCCACGCTCACCCGCGGCGAGGTCAGGGGAGGCGGCAGGAAGCCCTACCAGCAGAAGAAGACGGGGAAGGCGCGGCGCGGGTCGATGCGCACGCCGCTCCGCCCCGGCGGCGGCGTCATATTCGGGCCCAAGCCCCGCGACTGGTCCATCAAGATCAACCGCAAGGAGAAGCGCCTCGCCATCTCCACCGCGCTCGCCAGTGCCGCCGTGGCCGACGATGCATTCGTCGTGGAGGAGTTCGACGAGGAGTTCGCCGCGGGTCCCAAGACCAGGGACTTCGTGGCCGCGCTTCAGCGGTGGGGGCTCGACCCCAAGGAGAAGGCCATGTTCTTCGCCACGGATTTTGCAGACAATGTGCGGCTCAGCGGAAGGAACATTGGCTCCCTCAAGATGCTAACCCCCAGGACTCTCAACCTATACGACATCCTCGATGCCCGCAAGCTCTTCTTCACCCCGGCCGCCATTAACTATCTCAACTCCAGGTATGGTGCCACCGTTTTTGATGAATATGAGGATGATACCAATGGCGAGGATGATGGTGAGGAGGAAGCAGAGGAGTTGCAAGAAGGAGAAGGGAGCGCAGAGGAGGCTGCTCAAGGTACATAGCTATGCATGAACAATTTCCAGGTGTCTTTTTATTGTTTCTATGGTGGGCATGTGCGAAATGACTTTGAGTAACTAATGCTATCCAGTGATCCTTTATTTTACATGTTTTAGTTGATAGTTAGGAGAGAAAATGCTCTGCTTTAATGGCATGTACAGTAGTTTTTTTTTTTATCTTTTAACTCTTAGCTATGCTCTGTTGTAAATATCATGATCGATGCTATACGTATGCTGATAAAGATCCTGACATGCGTTTTAAGGGTAAAAACAAGATAACGTGGCAAAGAAACAGAAAATGTAGCCAGTTTTGTCTTATGAATACCATCTTAATTATTATGGAGAAATTCTTTGTGGCCTTGTAGACTTATGGAGCTAATTTTTTTTTCGAAATAGTTCTCTTATCCTTACCAGCATGCAAAAGGAAAAATGCTTACCATGCTAATGTACATCGTATGGTTTTTTTTCCTCCTGAAAGATCCAATAAGTCCATGACATAATTCAATGGTCTATTTTAGAAGCATGCTTAGAGATCCACCTACCCCTATGCTAGCTCTCAGTAGACCCACTGAGTCTGTATTTTACTCGTTATTTTGCACCTCCTTAGGGTTTTTATTCAGAGCTCATGAGCAACTCAACAATTTGCGAATAGAAAATGACTTCACCTAATGGTGGTTAAATTTTCGGCTGAAGGTGGATTAAGTCCTAAGCACTAAACTAAAAAATAAGAAGAAATGAGACTGCATGGAATCCATGAACACCACTGAACCAGAACTCTGGGGATACTGGTACACTCCTTATAATAGTGTCACAATCTGCTGTGCCACACAGCTACCCCTATCACCTATCACTTGAAACATTGTCAGCCATTGGCACTGTCATCATTCACTTCAAAGATGTTCTGTTAGACCTTAGAACCATCTTAATAAAGTAGTTAGCTGTGAATATGCTGGTTTAAGTTGCTTTAGAGGTAAAACCTAGTTAAACACATGTTTTCTCCATCACTCAAGCACTTCCTTTTCGTAAATACTATGCATAGCTACAGGACTAAGTTATTATTAATTGACATTCAGTTCTCTGTTACATTTTGGTGCTGCATATTATAACTTTCTCTTATTTTGAGCATTTCTCAGGAACTTCTTTTTGTATGACTTTCAGATGAGGCTGCAGAGACTGAGGCTGATAGCAATTCCTAGGGAAGGAGGTGTAGATCGCGTGTTTTTCGTTTGTTGGTCTGGTAATTGCTTCCCTGATGCAGAAGCTTTTTGGCTTACTTTTGTTGTAAGTTTATAATGTTTTTTTTTCACTGATGCAGTATATTAGATCTTCAAACTGCACATATATTTTCAAATACAATGTCGTGTCAACCACTGCATATTTTTCTTCCAATTTTATACAGAAAGTGCTTCCCAATCTTGCTTCAAAAAACCAGTGTTGACCTGCTGGTTACCACTAATTTTCTACTCCCTCCGTTTCATATTATAAATCATTTTGACTTTTTTTTCCTAGTCAAACTTATTTAATTTTGACCAAAATGATAGAAAAAATAATAACATTTTTAACACAAAACAAACATGTTATCAAAAATATATTCAAAGTTACATTTAATAAAACTAGTTTGGTATTATAAATGTTACCATTTTTTTTCTATATACTTAGTCAAACGTACAGAAGTTTGACTCCGAAAAAAGTCAAAACGACTTATAATATAAAATGGAGAGAGTAACATCTTGAGTAGGGGTATGATTACAAAATCTTGTCTCCTTAAATTGTTGAATTGTTCCTTGTTATGACTAACTTTTTCGCTGGGTGAGCTCTAACAAGTAACAACTAACAAGTCTTTTCAGAGGACTTGCTGCATTTTACAATGTGGAAAGTAGCCTAGCTCAACTTGGACATGGAGCACTGGAGCAGCATAGCCCGGGTTAGATGCTGATCTTGAAACTCTAAGCCCAGATCAGTCGTAAACAACAGACCATTTTGCTCAGGTTTACTTGTAGATCACCTGAGGGTTTAGTGAACCAACCCTCTGCTTATGCCTAACCATAATGATTCCATCATTTTTCTTTCTTACCTGGGTCATGCAAGAAGAGTTGTTGGGCCATCCTTAAGTCCACCCAGACAACTTTGGACCAGATCATCACCTTTCTAATTGTTCTGACATTGCACTACAAGTGGATTATGGGCTTATGGGCAAAGCTGCGTCTGTACTTTAGAAAGGTGCAAGATCTGGTCTTTTGCTATGTCTAGTATTTTATGTCATTTTTAGCTGGTGCTATCGGTAGAATTTACTTATAGTTTGCTCTGTCTTACTCTGCTTTCAACAATATCTAAAGAAATCATTTGTGAGATTGTGACTGACATAATAGTGCTGTATCTATGAACCGAAAAGGGAAGAGTCTTGCTTAGGTTGAGCCAGCTTCTTTGGCACTATCTTTTAAACTTTTTGGTGGGCAAAAAGCTATCCATATTATACTAGCCCACTATGCATAAAAGGCATACAAATTATGGGGATGGACCTGAGCACATAATTTCACTCTCTTTTTTTTTTCTTGAGACTGGCCATTGATTGGTTCTAGTTTGGAATATTGGATCGATTGACTATAACTGTTTCCGTCCCTACATGTTAGGTCTGCATTATGCTCCTTGGAAGGAATCATTAGAAAGAAAACTTACCACTACACTAAATGTCACTCACCGTATTAAGTTCTGTGCAAATATGCAGCAGAATTCTATTGTGCCACTGGCTGCTGTTGTGCAACTGAATTTACTGGGTGGGATTCTTAAACTAAAAATATACCAGATCATCTCAGAGTCTCCGGAAGTAACAGGAAAAACGGTTGATTCATCCTTCAGGCTACTGTTAGGACACGAAAACACCAGTGGAAGAAATAAGTTAGCATGATGGTATAAATCTTAGACATTATCGTCGTTGTCGGTTGCTTTTCGGCGTGTTGGTCTGATCTCCTTCGGAGCTCTTTTATCATCCGTGTCGTAAAGTTTGCACACGTCGCTGTCGATTAGTCCATCCACAGCTTTGTGGCCAATGGGCCAAGTTACTTTGCTCCGATTCATAGTGCTTTGTGGTTGTTTGACCCAAAAGCTTTACAGTCCATCTTTTCATTTATATTTATACTTATTAGCTAAAATTTAAATTTTTAACTTTAAATTTAAAGTTGATTTAAAGGTATTTTTATCGTAGTTTATTTTCCAGACTTTGCTTTTAGATCGTTAAGAACACATCTATAAAAGTTGTATTCACAAATTAATTTTTGTTACAAATATGTCGTTTCTTTTTTTTCCTCCAATGTACCAAACGATGGGTCTATTAGTTTATATGTCTTTTGACTGTTGTCGCATTTCCGTGAAATTTTCCTCGGAAAGGCATCTGGTATGGTTGGACCCAGGCCTTTATATCCTATCTCCCAATCGAATGTGCATGCAACTTATGGCTCTGCCGTCTATACGTGTTCTGCTCAGCTGCTCTCCATGCTCTGCATTTGTAGTGTGGAAAATAAGAATTTAGGGCCCTTTGAATTATAGGAATGAAAAAATAGAGGAATAGAAAAAACATAGGATTCTGACAGAAATGTAAGTGTAAAACAGAGGATTGCAAAACACAGGAATAACGTAGGAATGACCGTTTGATTGGACCACAGGAAAAACACAGAAATTTGAGGAGAGATAAAGACTCAAACGATTTTTTCCATGAGGTTCTACCTCTTGTTAAAATTCCTCCAAAACTTATATGGGAAGAGGCATTCCATAGGAATTTTATAGGATTCCATAGGGTTCATTTCTTTAATTTAAAGGGCTTGGTAGGAAAAATTACTATAGGAACGAAATCCTCTAAAATTTCTATGAATTTCCTTTGAATCAAAGGGTACAAGTAGTCTATACGTGTTCTGCTCAGCTGCTCTCCATGCTCTGCATTTGTAGTGTGGAAAATAAGAATTTACTAGGTACAAGTAGTTTGAGGGTAATTGAAAAGGATATATTTAGATTGATATGATTTTAAACCATACTATTGAAAGTGGCTATACATTAAACAAGCCTGTAGATCTAGATATATCGATTTATACAACTAGAAATATCTAGTTTTACAAAATCTTGGATCCGAAAGTGTGTTAAATAAGATGTTAGGAAATTCATAGGAATTTTAGGCCCCTTTGAATCAAAGGATTTATATAGAAATTTCATAGGATTTAAATTCTATAGGAAATTTTTCCTATTTGGCCCTTTGATTCAAAGGATTGAAGCTTTCCAAATCCTATGAAATTCCTATAGAATGGCACATTGCATATGGATTTTGGAGGAAATTTAGCAAGAGCTCCAACCTCTTGGAAAATTTCCTTTGAGTCTATCTCTCTCATCCGATTCCTACGTTTTTCCTGCACTCCAATCAAACGACCATTCCTGTGTTTTGCAATCATCTGTTTTACACTTCAATTCCTGTCAGAATCTTGTGTTTTTCTTATTCTTCCGTTTTTTCTACCCTGCGATTCAAAGGGGCCCTTAGAGGATTTTATTCATATATGAATTTTTCTTACAAAGCCCTTTGAATAAAAGGAATAATCCTATGGAATCCTATGAAACTCCTATGGAATGCCTCCTCTAATGCAAGTTTCAGAGGAATTTTAACAAGAGGTAGAACCTCATGGAAGAAATCCTTTGAGTCTTTATCTCTCCTCAAATTCCTGCGTTTTTCCTGTGGTCCAATCAAACGGTCATTCCTATATTTTTCCTGTGTTTTGCAATCCTCTGTTTTATACTTACATTCATGTCAGAATCCTATGTTTTTTTCTATTATTTCATTTTTTTCATTCCTATGATTCAAAGGGGCCCTTAGTGAATCCTATGTTTTTTCTATTATTTTATTTTTTTTTATTCCTATGATTCAAAGGGACCCTTATTGACCTAGCGAGACAACGTATGGTTCTGTAAAATAAAAACTGTAAACACACAGCATGAGCAGCCGAGCAGGGAGCGGTGTAGTGGGCCAAGGCAGCCACCGTTTCTTCCCATTTCCCCCCAAGACAAACCAAATGAATCGCTAGTTGCTATGCCTATTAGCGATGTCTGTTATCTTTATGTCTTTCGATTGACTCTAATTTTGATCTTTGAGCAAAAGGGCATTTAGCTGAGTAGTTACAAAGAGTCTCAGTACATCTTAGGTCCAGAGTTTGATTTTTTGTGGGAGCGAATTTTCCAACATTTAACGGCTTTGTGCTTTTAATGGTAGACGACGTATCTCTAGGATGGATTTGCCGACCCAGTCTTCGAAGATGCTTATAGGGGTAGGGTCTGCATGCGTGCGTTCATAGTGGTGTGAGTGTGCGTGTGTTGTGAATGTCTGCGTTGTAATATGTAATCGGGTAGCTAAGGGTCTTATTCCACCATGGGTGACATAGTTACATTAGAATTGCTAGCTAAAAAATCTTCGTGGTTAGTCAATAATAAATGAGAGTTGAGGATTTGTCCCATCTTTATTTCTTATTCTGACTTATTTTTATCTTTACTATTTTTTCAACAAACTTATAATTGTGCGTCTCATGACAGAAGCCAAAGATACAATCCATTTTTATTACCTAAAAATTAGTGATACCCTAATTCAATCAAGACCGAAGGATCCCAAGGCTCCCAGCTGCCCATTCCAGATGGACGGCACGGATGTACGCTGATGACATCTGCGCTTTACTGGTTACAAATATAGAGGATCTGCGCCCCTCGCGTCCTGCCTGGCCTTTTCCGTGACGAGACGACGCAGAACAGACCGATCGCCCGCCAGCCATGTGACCATCTGCCGTCGCGGTCGCGCCGGAAGCCCGGAAATCGCACCCGCGCGGGCACGTCGTCGTAGCTTTCCGCCGAAAGCACCGGTCGATCCATCCATCCGCCCCCAACCAACTGCCGTTTCTCGCTGGCTCGCTGCCTCTCTCTCCTCCTCGGCCGCTCGGCGTCGCGCACGCCCGGAAGCGCGACACCACCACGTATGCACGCTGAACCGGCCACTCCGCGTCCGCGAGCGTTGATGAGCTGACACGCGAGGAGGGCGTTGCCGTTCGTTAACGACAAGATCGATTCTGGATAGCGTCATGGTCTCATGGAGTCTTAAATTAAATAAAAATGATAGCGTCATGGCGCCGAAAGGTGTTGCCCATTGCCCATTGGTTGCCGGCCCGAGTACAGCTGCGGAATGATTGACCGGGATCGAGCTGAACTCGGCTATACTCTCGTATTTGCCGGTGCGGCCGGTTGCTATGTGCGGATAAGAGCAAGTTTAATGAGCAATTCTACTGTGTTTGAGGAGTCCTCATAATTCCTAGGTATCAAGAGGTATAAAAAAAATGGTACCTCTGATATCTCCTCAAGGACATAAAATTACTCAAGTTTAATAGTATAGCCAACTACTAACTCCAAATCATCAATAGTCAATTTAATAGCCAACTTATACAATAGTTACATATAAACATATACTACACTTTTAATAGCATAGCCAACTGCTGACTCCAAATTATCTATAGTCAACTTAATAGCCAATTCATAACAATAGTTACAATTAATACTAGTCCCACATGTCATACGCACATGTATCTTGGAGTTCGTGCTGCAGCTGGCTATAAATCTGTAGCCCGCTGCTATTCTTTCTTCTCTTTTATCTTCTCGAAATGTGTTTATAGCTTGCTTATAGTCTGTTGTTGTATCTGCTCTTATACAAGGGACAACCTCCACACAATCTCCAATAAAAATACAAGATGATGTGAGAGTAAACTAATATTAGAGTATTTGTTACCTATTAATTAATAGGAAGATGATATAAATAGTTTAAATTAGATGTGTCACTCGTCTTCACTATAAAACTTGCCGTTTTAGACGCCGAAATTTAATGACGCGCTCGGTCAAAAAATTTTATTGTTGGTACTGCTATTCTTAGGGCGTATGCTAAATAAAGAACCCCCATGCGTGCGCACGTGAGTATTGTAAATCTCTTCGGATGAGAGGGAAAAACGGAAGAATATGCCAATGGTACCCACTCGTTCGAGCAATCTAGAAGGATAACTCAACTCACCTGCCCTCGTCTCTCGGGTCATGAGAATATGCCGGTAACAAATGGCAACGTGCTAATATAACTTCCTCCCCTTCTTACCCCTCGGTTCCTGATGCCCAACATATATATATCCCTCCTTCCTCCATATCCAAGGTTAGTTCTACATTTCACATCTCTTCATTTTCTTTGGCTCTTCAGAGTTTTGTCCATCTCTATCTTCAGAGTTCTTCAGAGTTTGCTTACCATATGATCGTGATCAGGTTTGTAGCCAGCCAAATCTTAATTCATAAGAATGCAAGATATTCATGCCTTGACATGTGATTTCTTTATTTGTCTATCCTTTTCAGGTATCGGAATTCTCTTTATTTATAACTACAATGCAATCGCTCATTTTACCCGTAACAATTACCAAGAGCTTGTTTAGTTGACAATAGAGATATCAAGTCAAATAAGGTTGTTTGTGTTACACAAGATACCGATGAATTTTGTAGTGTTGCCCTTCTATTGGGAATTCATAAATGTTGCCTTGATGAGATACTACAGTACCAATAAGTTTTTTTTAATGCCTAGAGGTTAATGAAACGTATAGCATATGGTCCGCAAGGCTAACCAACAGTGGATCATCCCAAACGAAAAAAAAAAACTATGCATGTCTCTCCCACGCGCATTATTTTTCAAGGTAACATACATGAGCCTTTTATGCACAAGTGCATAGAATTGCAACTATAAGATTTTTTTATAATAGCTTTGATATATTTAAAATTTTATTACACATGTCCTATGCTAAGTTTCAAATGTAAGTTGAAAAAGTTGGTAGATAAATTCATGGCCTAATAATGATACCTACATGAAGAGGAACACTTCTACAAGCGTCATCAATGTTATATCTAGCTATCTGCAAGTTGAGGGTTTTCGTCAAAGTATGGCATCACTCAAGTCACACCTACTTAATTCAAGCATGGCGAACCAATGAAATAGGACTAAAACCATAAATGCTAGATAAATCATGCTAGAAACTCCTATCATAATATATTGCTACTAAATCACTTATTACCATCATTAGAAAGAGAATATCATTGGTACTAGCTATTAAGAGCCATGTCAGCCAAGTCACGTTCTACTTGTGACGGGGCAATGAAGGACAAGTATAAAGGTGTGTGTGTTGTGTGTGTTTGGGGGGTTGGGGGGGGGGGCAATGGACCAACATCCGGTACTTTTACATGTAAAAACTAATAAATATTTCATATTAGTGTTAGCTATGTCCGATCTCATTCGAGACAACTTGTTGATACTTGCTACCCCAAGTCTACATATAGATTGTTGACATGTCAGATCAAAACTATCATTATTAAAAGCTCTTCTAAATGCAATTTGAGCTTAACTCAGTTTTTTTCAGCCTATTCCTTTTATCCCTCATGCCTAAAATTGTACAATGGTTAGCCCTACTGCAAACGACCTTGCACAATAAAAAAATCATGCATAATTGCATATTCGAGTGTAAATTCTTTTTGCATATGTCTTTTGGACAGTACACCTGATATGTACTCACTCCATTTTTAAGAAAGACTAATTTTTAACTATAAATATGGATATAAACTATCTTTAGATTTGTGTTAAATGGTGTGAAGTTAAAAATAAATGTGGCATCCTAAATCGATCCATACACACTATTTTGTCTATTGGATGTGCACTTCTGATTTTTTTTCTTAAAAGTTTAACTTGTCTAGTACTATCGTAAAACTATGTTGTTAAAAGTTACCATTGTATATACATTAAATAACTTGCCCTCACGTCTTTACAATGATGCTTTTGTAGCTTTCCCTCATTTTTAAGATTGAAGGTTTTTATGTTGGATTAATTTTGCCATCGGATATCAATTGACAGCGTATTACATTGATGCAATTTTTCTTTTAGCTATTTCTTATCATACCCTACAGGTAATTCTCAAAATCGGAGAGATTTACAAGGACACAATAGCGATATAAGTATGACTCCCTCGGAGCTCTAATTATATAGCACAAGGATGATTCAGGACTCATCCACCATATAACTATAACTCTCTCAGGGCTCCAATCATATAGCACAAAAAGGATTCAGAACTCATCCATAAACAGTGACGATGACCCGCAACCACTGCGAGAAAACCTTGACCACGGACAACGTCAGAGATTTTAGCCACAGGATAACAAACTCACAGGAAATGGAAGGAAAGTGAGAAATATCTGCAGCCGCCGTCAGCCTCAGGCCTCAGCCGCTGGCAAACGCACCGCATCAGCAGCAGCAGCAGCAGCAGCCATCCCAAGCGAGAGAGCTTTGCTTTCGCGAGTCGCGCGACTCCGCCAGGACAGGAAAAAACCGGAAAAAAAAAACCCCGCAATAAAATTTCCCCAACTTCCGCTTTTTCCTTGCCTCTCCCCACCACACCACACCACCCCATCTCCCATCTCACCATCCCCCTTTCCCACCCTCCCGTGCGAACACACCCGCGGCGCGGAGCCCAGATCGGGATCGCGACGGATCGGCGGCGGCGGCGGCGATGGGAGGCGAGGCGGGGGAGCGGCGGCTGGGGAGGGCGATGAGCTTCGGGATCCCGGACGTGGCGCTGGGGCTGGTGATGGGGTTCGTGGAGGACCCCTGGGACCGGGACGCCATCTCGCTCGTGTGCCGCCACTGGTGCAGGGTCGACGCGCTCAGCCGCAAGCACGTCACCGTCGCCATGGCGTACTCCACCACGCCCGACCGGCTGTTCAGGCGGTTCCCCTGCCTCGAGTCGCTCAAGCTCAAGGCCAAGCCCCGGGCGGCCATGTTCAACCTCATCCCCGAGGACTGGGGCGGCTCCGCCTCGCCGTGGATCCGCCAGCTCTCGGCCTCGTTCCACTTCCTCAAGGCGCTCCACCTCCGCAGGATGATCGTGTCCGACGACGACCTCGACGTCCTCGTCCGCGCCAAGGCGCACATGCTCTCCTCGTTCAAGCTTGACCGCTGCTCTGGCTTCTCAACATCCTCCCTCGCCCTCGTCGCCCGCACCTGCAAGTAATTATTTTTTACCCTTACAAAATATTACTCGAGTGAGTCATTTAAGGTTCTCCTTTGTTCGCTTAAAAAGTGTTGTTGTAAAAGGGATTTGGGTATGGTTTGCTTACGGAAGGGAATACTACGTCTTAGGAGTTCTCTCTTGCTTTGGTCACTATAAAAACATCTTAGTTCTAGAATTCAACTTTGGAGATAATTGTAGCTCATAGGTATTAAGGAAATGGTGTGCTTTAACTGTCACACCCTAATTTTCTAGTGAGGTGCGAGGATTTAGCTTAGATCCAAGGCTACTTAGTGGAAATGGATAAGTAGAAATAGGTTACTGCAAGAGTGCGGTGGATTTCTAGATAATTGACCAGCCATATGTTGTCATTTGCAGGAAACTTGAAACGTTATTCCTGGAGGATAGCATAATTGCTGAGAAAGAAAATGACGAATGGATTCGGGAGCTTGCTACCAACAATAGTGTCCTTGAGACACTGAATTTCTTTTTGACAGATCTCAGGGCATCCCCAGCATATCTTACCCTCCTTGTGCGCAATTGTCGAAGGCTGAAAGTTTTGAAGATTAGTGAGTGCTTCATGCTTGACCTGGTTGATTTGTTCCGTACAGCAGAAATATTACAAGACTTTGCCGGTGGTTCCTTTGATGATCAGGGTCAAGTTGAAGAGAGTAGAAATTATGAAAACTACTATTTCCCTCCTTCATTGCTCCGCTTGAGTTTGCTCTACATGGGAACAAAAGAGATGCAAGTGCTATTTCCATATGGTGCTGCACTCAAGAAGTTGGATCTTCAATTCACATTCCTTTCCACAGAGGATCACTGTCAGCTGGTCCAGCGCTGCCCAAATCTGGAAATCTTAGAGGTATTTCCTGGTAGATTAGTTGCATGTCTTTTTGTTATGTTTCTTGCTTTGAGGTTTTATAGGAATATTCAACATGGGCTGATAATCCTTTTTCTCATGTCAATCCAACAGGTGAGGGATGTCATAGGGGATCGTGGGTTAGAAGTTGTTGCACAAACCTGCAAGAAATTACAGAGACTTCGAGTAGAGAGAGGAGATGATGATCAAGGAGGTCTTGAGGATGAACATGGTATGGTTACACAGGTGGGGTTGATGGCTGTAGCTCAAGGCTGCCCTCATTTAGAATACTGGGCAGTGCATGTCACTGACATTACAAATGCTGCTCTAGAAGCCATCGGTACATACAGCAGCAGTCTTAACGATTTCCGGCTTGTCCTGCTTGATAGAGAAGCAAATATAACAGAATCACCCCTTGACAATGGGGTGCGTGCTTTACTGAGAGGCTGCACCAAGCTCCGGAGGTTCGCATTTTATGTAAGACCTGGGGCTCTATCAGATGTTGGCCTTGGGTACATTGGTGAATTTAGTAAGACAATCCGTTACATGTTACTTGGGAATGTTGGGGAGTCTGACCAAGGACTGCTTCAACTCTCAACAGGATGCCCAAGCTTGCAGAAATTGGAGCTGAGGGGTTGTTTCTTCAGTGAACGTGCATTGGCTGTTGCTGTTTTACAACTTAAATCACTGAGATACCTATGGGTGCAAGGATACAAGGCATCTCCCAATGGCACTGATCTAATGGCAATGGTGCGACCCTTCTGGAACATTGAGATTATTGCCCCGAATCAAGATGAAGTTTGCCCGGACGGTCAGGCACAGATTCTTGCATATTACTCACTTGCAGGAATGAGATCAGATTACCCTCACTCAGTAATTCCCCTCTATCCTTCGGTTTGAGTGTATATGTCTGATACCAGGTTGCGAAACTCACACTCTAGTATAGGCCGATATTGTTCCAAATTCTACAGTTTGCTGCTCTTATTCTGTTTAGCAATGAGCACAGAACAAATGACAAATAAAAGCAGGATAGCTGTTAGTTCGAGGAACATATTATAACATCTTGGGACTAAGAATTTTATTGCATATCTGAGGGGTATCACTTCTGCGAAAGCTCAGCTCAATTGGCCAGCACGGATATGTAAACTTCTCCATTTTGATTAGGATCGGACACACAATTTTGTAATAATGTTCCTTGTTCAATGTTTAGTAGTATTATTTGACTCTTTAGCTTTGTGTCACATTGTCTCTTGGAAGATCGCCGCACTGTGTTCTAATAAGTCATTCGCTGTACAATATTTTTATCATCCACAGATCACACTACTGGCTGTATTCTTGCTGTGACTTTTCTATTTCTTCTCTCTTTGGTTGTGTAACGCCCCTTGATTGGTCTGTATGATGGCGCGCTGCTTCTTACTTTATCTTGTTTGGTGGAAATGTGGAATCATGCATATCGATATGTAATTACATATTTCAATAAGAGAAACAATAGCCAACCTCACTTTTCTAATCTATCTATGTTTACTCCTAAATCCTAATAGATTTGTTGATAGGTTCTATGCGTTTTTGGTGCCTATTCATTTTGTTTGGTTTGGGAGTGCCGGTTTGTAATTGTGTATGCACATGCTCCTCCTTTACGTCCTGTCCACCCTTTTTTATTTCGAGTATGGTGTTGTCGGTTTACAAATTTATGAGGTGAGGTGGATGCAATCTACTTCCTCCATCTCACAAAGACTTTATTTTTAGATTTTCGTATCTAACATTTAACCGTATATCTTATTTGAAAAAAAAATGAAAAAAATTAAAGAAAATAGTCACACATAAAATACTATTTATATTTTATCATCTAATACTAATAAAAATATTAATCATAAAAAATAGTTAAATAAAACGAAGAGAAACATTATATCTAAAAACTGAAAAATAAAGTCTCTGGGAGACGAAGGGAGTAGCCTATAAACTTGATTCGGTAACTTGATTTGCCCACAGTAGCACAAAACCCAGCCTGACTGCCTGAACCAACTGTGTCTGCCTGCGAAAATGACAGCATAACAGAACCTGATACAACACACAGTAAGTATCAATATGCTACAGATTGTAGATCTGGACACCATAACGAACCACCAATAATATCTGCCTACGAAAGTAAGCATAAACATATAGAAGTATCCGATACAATACGACACAAATATTATGGTACACGGTTTCTAAGTTGGAAACAGGTGCAAAGTAAGCTTCACGAGATACAGACATACACTTAGGCATAGAGAGCTTTATTGATCTCTAGAACATCAAGCTTCAATTCATTCTGAGCGCTCCCTGGAGACAGACCTTGAGTAGGAACTGCGGCTGTGAGAGTAGCTCTCCCTAGAATGCCTCTTACCCGACGACCTGCTGCGCGACGGTTTCCTTTCACTGTATCTTTTCCTTGGAGAATAGCTCCCTGACCTCTGAGAATCCGGGGAACAGCTATGGGAGTAGCTCCTCTGAGGTGATACACTGCGAGAATAGCTCCGTCCTCTAGCACTTGGAGAATAGCACCTTCTATAGTATGGTGAAACAGAATGGTCATAGGAACATGACCTCTCTCTTCTGTAACGGTATGGAGATCTTGAACGGTAGCGGGAACCACGGTAAGATGAGTATGACCGACGCCGTGAACCACGTGTGTCATAGGGAGAGTATGATCGCCGTCTACCATAAGGAGAAGGGGATCTGCCATACGGAGAGTAGGACTGTCTCCTTTCATGTGGAGAGTAGGATCTACGCCTCTCATAGGGGGAGTATGATCTTCGCCTGTTGTATGGAGAATATGATCGCCTTCTACCATAAGGAGAATAAGACCGTTCTCGCTCAGGTGAGTAGCGTGAACTGTAGCGGTCTCTTTCAACAGGCGAGTAGCTTGGGGAATACCTCCGTGCTGGTGTCACTGTATAATAAAAAATATTCAGCAATCAGTTGTATTATATCAGGAAAGGCTAGCAATGCTTCCTATTTTCCAGAGAAATGAGACCAAACCATCCAGACACAGCAGCAGTTAAATCAAACTTACCACATGATGATTTTGTGCCTAGATACCTTCCGGGCGTTGGTGTTCGACCACGTCTTCTCTTGGCCTGTGGAAAGGATTCAAATAAGCCTTTTCGCCATATTAGCATTAAAGAGTGATGCAACAAATTGGGAATCTGAACGACATGATTAATATGGAGACTATATAATGTAGGGCATACAACCCTTTGGTTGAGGTAGCATGTTTGGCTGTTAGGTTGTAAATCTTTTGAATTTGACGTAGAGCAGCAACGGACATCTACCCTGCTGCTGTCAACAAAAGCTTCAAACGGAAGAGCACTCAAATATTCAGCTCAGCAAGCTAAATGAGCATATAAATTTCACTCCAAGTAGAAGTGAAGAAATTCAGTAAATATATTGTGATTATACCTTCTCTACAGTTATCACACGACCTTCCAACACTGAGCGGTCTAGATATTTGATGCAAAGATCAGCCTCCTTAACAGTAGCCATGGTAACAAATCCAAATCCCCGGGATTCCCTTGTCCATGGATCAAGTACTATGCTAGCATCAATAACCTGTAATACGGTGAGCTTAAAAAGTTGTACACTATTTTGGTATCCCTTTGCAGATACTCTATAAAGGTTACCTCTCCCTCAGCAGAAAAGTGTTTCTCCAGATCTCGATCTGTCACACGAGCAGATAAGCCAGTAACATACAGGTTGTTCCCAGGGTTTTCAACATCACTTGAGTCCACACTTCTAAAGACATCAAAAGGATATCACATACTCATCAGAATTACAGTAGGCAAAAATGTTCACCCTCGAATATAGAGTGAAGGCAGAAACATACTAAGCGCTAAGATAAATACCATACCTAGAACGACTCCTATACCTTGAACGGCTGCTCCGTCTGGGCGATGTAGAATATGAGTCGGACTCATATCTATCAGTAGGAGCCAATCAATAATCACAAGACAGGGCTTCAAAAAATGTGGAAAAAAATTAAGTTTGGTAATGCGTACCTTGATCCTCTGGAGTACGACATCTGCAAGATAGACATATGATTGCATCAATATCCACTAGAGAAACAAATATATACAAAAACATGAGATGCCACTTGAAAATGTAATTATAACAAACAGTGGGTTCATAGCCTTTTGAAGTTGTAACTGATTAATTTATGACACCTTGGTGACAATATGCCAATCAGTAAGATATTTTGCAAAACAAAATTATTATCTTCAGAATGAAGAGATGACCCAGAGTATATACCTAGCGCACGCCAAAAATAATCCACAAACCAACATAACGAAATGAACAAGAAACTGCAAGACAGGAGATTCTTTGTTTATTTTCAGCATGGTAATCATGAACTATAACTTATGCAATTGCGCTCAGCAATTGAAGCTTCCAACCATACAGTCCCTAAGATAAATCGACTTCCTAACACTGTCCCTAAGTTTCCTCCGAGGCATGTAGGGGCACTATGCAAGTTTCGAACTTTCGACAGTTGCGTTTCAAACTACATATACAATGGACAAAAAATGATTATGCCACAAGTTGTACAACAATTTGTTCCCTTCATTTCTTCATTTCGTGCCCCTCTAGAAACCCATGTACTAGCAATCTATACCTCTTCTTTTGCAAAGCAAATACACGCAAATCAGATCATTTTAACAAATGAGCCGCTATCCAAGATGGGGAACTCCTGCCGCAACGCTTCGAACTACAGCTAGGATTTATCTTTATATAGATTAAGAATAACAAAAATAAATAAATATAAACGGATGTTTTTATACAGATCAGAGGGGCAAACCATCGCCATACTGGAACAGAGAACGAACGGATTCACCGTCTTTAGCAGAGATAAAACATGAGGAGAATCAGAGGCAGCAATAATACCTTCCTTCGTCGCGACGATCCGTGCCCTAGCCGAGAGCGTCTCTCTGTGCCGGCCTCTCTTGTTCTCAGTCACGGCGCTGCCTTTCTGCGCGTCGGAGCGCGTGCGGTTGGGAGAATAAATGGAAGTGTGGAATGGGGAAGGTTCTGGACGGAGGCGGACGCGAAAGTTTCTCAAATCTGGTTGATGAATCGGTTGCGCGCACGAACTCCGCCTTCCTCTTCACGCCTTCACACATGGCGCTTCTTGGAGCCATTGGTTTTTCTTTCGGTTTGCAGTAAATAAAAGTTTCCCTTCAGGGTTTGGTTTACTTTCCAACTTTTTCTTCAAACTTCCAATTTTTTCATTACATCAAAAATTTTTACAAATATAAACTTTTAATTTTTTTTCTTTAAACTTTCAGTTTTAACCAAACTTCTAATTTTAGTGTAGAACTAAACACACAGCCTAGACCTCTTTTGGTCCTATAGAAAATTAGAGCATTTTAATTATAATGATAATTCTAACGAGTTTTTTTTAAACAAATAATTCAATCCTATACTCCCCTGTAAAATTTCTATAAAATGGACACCCCCAACAGAGATTTTAATGAAAATATAAGAGTTACAATCCTTATGTGTCTTACAATTGTATTGTTCATCTATGTTACAAATATTAGGGCATGTTTAGTTCGCGGAATGAAATTTTTTGGGTGTCACGTCGGACGTTTGACCGGATGTCGAAAGGGGTTTTCGGACATGAATGAAAAAACTAATTTCATAACTCGCTTGGAAATCGCGAGACGAATCTTTTGAGTCTAATTAATCCACCATTAGCACATGTGGGTTACTGTAGCACTTATGGCTAATCATGGACTAATTAGACTCAAAAGATTCATCTCACGATTTCCCCCCTAACTGTGTAATTAGTTTTTCTTTTAATCTACATTTAATGCTCCATACATGTGTCCAAATATTCGATTTGATATTTTTGGAACTAAACGGGGCCTAAGGGTGTGTTTGGTTCTTCCCTTTCCCAACTTCAAATCTTTGTTTTATGTGCGCACGCTTTCCGAACTGTTAAATGGTGTGTCCTTTTACAAATGAAAAATTCTATGTGTGAACCTCAACATAGGAAAATAATAATAATAAAAAGAATGGTTGATTGATTTTGCTTTAGCTGTTCTATTTGTCAGAGTAATTATCGAGTTATGAAATGCTATCTCCATCCAAATCGCACCCCCATTGGTTGGCTTATTCTTGGAATAAGCCAAACGACACATTTACAAACAATAAGTAATTTGTGAATAAAGCATTTATATACGTGTTCTTAGCGACCTAAAAGTAAATGCTGAAAAATAAACTTCAATAAAAAACTCTAAAACTAGCTTCAAATTTAAGGTTGAAAATTCAAATTTTAGCTGATAAGCATAAGCATAAGAGAAAAGATGAAGCCGCATATGGCGTATCCAATTAAACTACAAAACATATTGCTAGGTTTAATGCAAGTAGGACATGATATAAAGTAGAATAACTATATTTACTTTTAGTCACTTTATTACGGTGGTTCTTGCAATCAGTACTCCCGCATTCAAATTAGTGTCACCGAGCGCTATTTGTACTTTTTAAAAAACCGCTATTTGTTTTTGGGTTAATTGGATCCATGCCATTGCAACTTTGTGAAATTAAAAAAAATACCACTACTATTCGTCATATCGGCTATATGCCACTAGAAATTTCTAAAATTGAAACCATACCACTCGCGTCTCTTTTTTCGTCTTCTCTCTCACACCGTCTCTGTTCCTGTCCTCATCCCCTCCCTCCTTCCTCATCTCCGTTCCCGACTTCATCCTCCTCTCTGCGTGAGCAGTAGAACTTGATGAGGGAGTTGGTGACGACGGGGTCCCGCTCCCGCGTGCGCCTTCCCTTTCCCTCTTCGTCGCTGACACGGTCTCCTCCTCCCCGCCACTACATATTTCTCTTGCCGGCGAACTTCCACCGCACGCGCACAAGCACAATCATCACAGACTCCGGCGATCTCCATGGCTCCATTCAGTGGGGTGATGACGGGTGCGCGAGCGCGTCGTACTTGAATGCCTGCGCGTGGGTGAGGCACGCGGCGGCGAGGCACGCGAAGCCTGCGGACGGGGAAGGGGGCGGGGAAGACAACGACGCGAGGGCGGCAAGGAGGAGGGAGAGGGTGGACGGGGTGGGCGGCGAGGCCTCACAGATGCGGGAGTAGAGGGCAAGGGTGGCAGCCGCGGGGGCACAGCGGCAGGCCAGCGCAGCGTGGAGCGGGCAGCCTTGGGAGGGCGCCGACGAGAAGGCGGCAGCTCTGCGGAGAAGGAGGAAGGTGGGGTCCAGAGCCAGGGGAGGAGGCAGCAGAGGCGGCGTGAGAGCGCGGGCATGGCAGGAGGGCTTGGGAGCCGCCGCCGCCGTCGCTGTCCTCGATCCCCTCTATGGCCGTTGCCTCCATCCTCGACGCAATTTGGAGCTCGGGAGTCGCCACCGCCGCCGCTGTCCTCGATCATCGACGGGAGGTCTCGGGAGCTGCCGCCGCCGCCGTCCTCGATGCCATCCGCGGTGGGAGTGCTCGGGAGCCGCCGCTGCCACCGTCCTCGATGCCATCCGCGGTGGGAGTGCTCGGGAGCCGCTGCCGCTGTCGTCACCGCTGTCCTCTTTGCAATCGCAGGGATGGAGGAAAAGATGGAGAAGAAAGAGGAGGGAGATGGAAACGATTAAATAGGGAAGAACGAGACGGCGTGGGAGAGGAGACAAAAAAAAAAGGGATGGGACTCAGGAATGGCATGGTTTCAATTTTAGAAATTTCCAGTGAACATGTAGCCGATATGACGAATAGTAGTGATATTTTTTTAATTTCGCAAAGTTGTAGTGCATTGATCCAATTAACTCTTTGTTTTTAGCATTTGACCATTCATACTTAAGAGAGAAAATGTGAAACCATATATAAAGTTCTCTAGATTCATAAAAAAAACTAAATATAATATAGGCACGACACACATTCACATAAAATCTCATCTATAAACTCAACTTTGTTCGAGGTAATAAAAAAGATAGATTTCATGTGAATAGTTATGTGTTATTGTTCATCAAAAAATTGTCATTTTTGTTACTACCAAATAAAATTGAGTTTGAACTTGAGATTTGGTGTGGATATATTTCATGTCTACGTCAATCTCCAATAATTATTTTTCTCAGATTTATTAAACTTTTAGCCCTGGTTTTTAGGGGTTTTTTTCTTATTTGATGATTTTCAATGAATATGTACCTTGCTTAAAATAGTGGCGGCTGGTGTGGCAGCAGTCATTTGGACTATGTGGAAAGCTAGAAATGCAGCATGTTTCAATGATAAGAAAATTTAAGATGATCTCGTTGAACTAATTCATGAAGTATGTTATTGGATCGAATCTTGGTCCATTTTGCAGATACAGGAGGACGAGCGAAAGAAGACTACAACTGAGGGTAGTGCTGCTAAGGAGAATAGCCGCTGAGCTATACAACTCTGTAAATGGATGGAAGCTGCAAACGTTGAGGCTGAAATGAAGAAAGATCATGTTTTGTCGTGTTTCGTCGTATATGTCTGTTGCAAGTCCTTTGGGGATTCAAATTTGATAATGGAAGTCTATTATCTATTTTAGTTTAGCATGCAGTTACTGGGTATGTTGAGTTACAGACTTAAGTTCGGCACCTGAGGTTGGCAACTAATCACTGTTGCATGGAAAACAGAGCGGTCCATCAGTGCATGATTAGTTAAATATTAGTTTTTTTTTTAAAGTTGATCGATATGAATTGTTTAAACAACTTTTGTATAGAAAAATTTTATAAAAACGCACTATTTAGCAGTTTTAAAAGGTGTGCGCGTGAAAAAAAGAGGGAAGTGAGCTGGGAACTTTGGCTACCGAACTCAGCCTTACAGGTCATATAAACTCTGTTAAAAGACTTTGCTATATGCGTTTCGATAAAGAAATGGGAGACGAACCCTCTCTTTCTTAAAAAAAGGTACCCTGCTTAAAAACACATTATATATTATTAATTGTAAAATGCATGATGTAATGTATATGCACATGAAACCCCCATTAGTCGTTTCATAGTAGTTCAAACATTACAATAATTATTGATCAAAGGCTACATTATTTAAGAACATATGGAGTAACCGCATATAACAAGAGAGAAACCTGTTTAGTGCCTTTCAAACTTCCAACTCTTCCATCACATCAAATATTTGGATATATGCATAAAGCATTAAATATGGACGATAAAAAAACCAATTGCACAGTTTACATGTAAATTGTGAAACAAATCTTTTGAACCTAATTACACCATGATTTGATAATGTGGTGCTACAATAGACACTTGCTAATGATGGATTAATTATGTTTAATGGATTCGTTTTGCAATTTACAGGTGAAAACTGTAATTTATTTTGTTATTAGTCTACGTTTAATACTTAAAATGTGTGTCCGTATACGTTAATTTTTTTTACCAAAACAACTAAACACGGTCCTTGTCGTGAAAAAATTATATATTTAAACATAGCAGTAATAGGTAGATGGAGGCAAACCGAACATGTAAATAAGCATACATGTTTATATTATGTTTTGCAAAAAGAAAAAAAAAGAAATAGACAGAGGGAGCATGCTATGTCGATCATAATAAGTATTTATATATAGGATCTGTTCAGATTGTAGCCAAAACAAATATTATCAAATTTTAGCAATCGACAATTTGGCAATATCATCGTTTTGGCATGATTTCTTATGTATTTCCTAGAGTTTGGTAAAAAACTAAATGATGCATATATTTGATAACTTTTTTAAAAAGGTATGGTTTGAAATAAAATTAATCTGAATAACGCCATACTAGTTAATTTGAATTTGAAAGCTGAGTGGAGGAATTTGAATATTTGATCGGCGTGAAGGTCGTCTTTCCTTCGCAATTCACAAAATCGGTCCGGGTCGAACCAATCAACCAAAGCCCAGACAGTACACCAAATCCAAATTGGCGGTTGGATCGAGCCAGCGCCGCGGCCACGGCACTTCAGTGCTCCATTTGCCCCAACCTGACAAAACCAACCCGACCCGCAAAAATCCCTCGACACAGCAGCACACAAGAAAAGCCTCTTTGCTCGCCGGAGAGAGATCTCACTCCCGCGGCGGCCATG